ACATTGAGAATCATTTTCTTTGTAAAAAAAAAAAAACAGTACCTGTCTTTTTTTTATTGTTCAACTTACAATATAGTGCAAGCATCTTTTCTATGCCTTGGCAAATTGTCCTACTCCTAAGTTTGGATTCACTTCCAACATTTTATCTTTTTTATTTTAAAGTTTTTTATTATTGGCATATTCATTCTTACAGATCATGATATTTCTTTATGCTCTTTACCTGACCTATCACTTCCCAAACCCCCTCCATCCCTCCCCTCCATCTCTAGTATCCTTAGGTTTGTTCTCTCCTTCTGAAAGTTTAACGTATTGTTGTGGTCTTTTCTTTCTTTCTTTCTTTCTTTCCTTCATTCCTTCCTTCTTTCCTCCCTCCCTCCCTCCATCACTTCCTAGCAGCCAGTTATGAGTTAGAACATGCAGTATTTCTGTTTGTCTGGCTTATTTCACTTAACATAATTTTCTCCAGATTCATCCACATTGCTGCAAATGGCAGAATCTCATTCTTTTTTATGGCTGAGTAGTATTCCATTGTGTATATATACATTTTCTTTATCCAGTTGTCCGTCAATGGACATTTAGGTTGGTTCCATATTTTGGCTATTGTAAATAGAGCTGCAATGAACATGGGAGTGCAGGTATCCCTTCAACATGATGATTTCCATTCCTTTGGCTATATACCCAAGTAGTGGGATTGCTGGATCACATGGCAGCTCTATCCAGAGTTGTTTGAGAAGACTTCATACTGTTTTCCATAATGGCTGTGCTAATTTACAGTCCCACTGACAGTGTAGAAGAGTTCCCCTTTCCCCCCATCCTCACCAGCATTTGTTATTCTCAGTCTTTTTAATAATGGTCAGTCTAACTGGGATGAGATGATATCTCACATTTTATCATTTGTGCTTTCAGTATTTCATAAAATATCTCCAAGAGTCTCTGTAAAGTTTTTCACCAGTGTCACTTCCTCAGGGACATCTTCATCTTTTTTTTTTTTTTTATCAAGTATTATGTATTTATTCAGAAGGTTGTTCAGCAGCAGAATAAAGCCCTTTGGCATTATGAAATACAATGTTTTGAACTTTTTTCCTCAGCATTTCTGTTTAGTTTAACTTTCGTAATCCCAAAGATTCTTTTATCTGAAGATTTTCATGCACTCAGGTATTCTGCACGATGTCTGATATGACCAGCAATAAACACTGAAATGAAGTAGAAGCTATGACCACAAACCTCTTGTAATCTAAAAACAACAGGGATTTTCTTTTCTGTACAAGCAGCTATGAACTTATCAGGGAATAACCGTCCATCTGAAAGAAACTGGTCATCTTTTCCTTGATCAGTCAGTATGTCCAGCTGAGAGCCTGAACAGGACATCACAAGATGGGGGGCATCATAAGCCTTCCATTTACTTTGATCTGTTCCCAAATATCCACTATAGGCTTTTTTGCCCCAAGGACAAAGCACTGGGTTACAAATTGGTGCAAATACAGATTTCTATTTTCTAGGATTTTTCAAAGCACAAATCAGAGCTCCATGGCCTCCCATGGAGTGGCCAAAAATAGACATCCTTCCAGGGTCCACAGGAAAATTGGCATTTATGAGTTGGGGAAGCTCCTCTGTTATGTTACATAAGAGCACATCCGTAGTTAGGTTTCCAAGGCATCCACATAAAACCCAGCACCGGTGCCAAAGTCCCAGCTCTCATCTTCTCCTTTAATATTGCAGCCACGAGGGCTGGTATCTGGAGCAATGACGAAAAGGCCATGTTCTGAGGCAGCTTGATGATAACCAGATTTTGACATGACATTTTGTTCTGCGCAAGTTAAACCAGACAGCCAATGCACTGCAGGGCACTTTCCAGTTTCTGCCTTTGGTGGTAAGTAGATAGCAAATTTCATTTTACAGTTCAGTTCCACACTGTCATGTTCAAAAACCTTCTGCAATCCCCCAAAGCACTTGTTGCTGGAAACCTGTTTCAATGCCATTCGTCCCCTGTCCAGTCACTACTTGGTTTTTTGTCTGCACCAAAGGACAGAAGATCTTCTGGCGGTGGCTGCTGTTCCTGGAAGCCTTATTATATCTGATTGCAAGACTTACTATAAAGTAATAGTGGTATCAGCCTAAGAAAAGATTTATAGATCAATTGAACAGAATAGAGAGAGCAGAAATAGACTTATGCATGATGGATTTTTAACAATGGTGCCAAAGTAACTTAATAATCTTTTCAACAAATGGTGCTGCAACTGGATATGAATGGGAAAATATGAACCTTGACCTTAATTTCACACACAAACAAAAATTAACTCAAAATGGATCACAGACCTAAACGTAAAAGCTAAAGTTAGAAAAATCCTCAAAGAAAATATAGGGAAAAAAATCTTCACAATTTTACAACAGACAATAATTTCTTAGAATATAAAAAGCACTAACCCTAAAATAAAAATAAATAGATAAATTGGATTTCATAAAAATTAAAATTTCTTCTTTTTTTTTTTTTTTCCATATACCTTGATAACTGAAATTCATGCATAATGGAATCATGCAAATCGAAAATTGCCTGTATCCTGTACTGGATTCCTACCTATCTTTCAATGCATAGTTTTGTATTTTTATACCTTGATAACTGAAATTCATGCATAATGGAATCATGCAAAGCGAAAATTGCCTGTATCCTGTACTGGATTCCTACCTATCTTTCAATGCATAGTTTTGTATTTAAAGCAATATGAAGAAATAATACTGCCTTTACCCTGATCATACTTTTGAGGGCTAGAATGGTAGCAGAAGTAATGTAAATGAGTTCTACAGAGAGTATCTCTGCAACTAAGAAACTGATTCCATTTGTAAACTTTTGCTCTACAAAAAAAAAAAAAAAAAAAATAGGGAAGAAAGTAAGAAGGGAGGGAGGAAAATAGTTTTCAAATCCTTTAAAAGTATTTAGCAGTAATAACTTACTTTCGGCATTACCATTGTGAATTGTTAATCTGTGTTCTCCTTTCTGAAAACTCTCAATATGTTCCACATGTAATTCAAAGTCTCTAATTGCTTCTGAGGCTCCTTATTTGAGTTACTATACATTATCCTCATTCACTAATATTGAACCAATTGTCAAAAATAAGATGCTATGAGAAAATACATTACTTTTTTAAGAATATATAGTTCTCAGATATTTCTAGCTTCCTTAAAAAATAACATATGGCTTCTAAACTGGAATGGAGAGAGGGTGGTCAAGTAAACTGGCTTAACACCCTATCGACATGGAGTAAAGCCCAACACTTAACACAGCTGTGCACCCACACACCACCTATGCACAGACATTAAGGAAAGCCACCCAGCAAAATAATCCTCAGCAACGGAATACGAGAGGATTATTGGTTATAGGATTATAGATTACATTAAGATTACTATCTAATAATGTGGCAGACAATGTTCTAAGCATTTTACATATATTAACTTGTTTAATGCTGCCAGGAACCCAGTAGGGTAGATTCTATGTCTAAGATGACAAAGCACAGAAAAATTAACTTCCCTAAGGTCAAATAGCAAGTCAGCAACAGAGCCAGGCCCCCAAGTCCACGCTTTTAACTTCTATGATCCACTACTGCCCAGCATGAAAAAAGGAGACCAAAATGCACAGGCTAGGGGGAGGGAGGGCTGAGGAGACGGAATCAAGGAAACCGAAGAAAACCTCTAAAAAAAGTTGAAACTACAGTTCACATCCTGAGAGACACAAGATGTTGTATCTACAGAATAAGAGTAAAATGATATGAAAAAGGACCAATTATAGAGTAGAGAACTCTTGGGGGATAAAATGAAAGCTAAAATAAATATTCAATAAAATTATTAGACAAAAGAATCAAAGAAATCTTTCCCCTAAAATAGGACTAACATACAAACTTAGAAGTTATCAGTAGAAGACATCCAACATTTCATTAACAGAAATTCCCAAATCAGAACACAGAAAATGGGAGGGAGGGGAGGTTATCAAATAAAATCCCCCAAAACAGAAGAACCCAAATCCTTCCCATACCCTAATAAAAGAACAAAAACAGGCCCTTGGAATTTCTGATCGCCCAATAGAAGAAAAACTTCCAAAGAGAAGACCGAGAATGAGAACGGCAGCAGATTTCTCAACAGCAGCACAGAAGGCAACAAGACAAGCAGTGCCTTCAACAACCGAAGAAAAAATTCACACCAGCTGAATTACAGGCAATTTCAGAAATGCAGGGAGATAAAAAGTTTACCTCTCATATTCCCTTTCTTAGGAAGATACGAGAAAATGGTGCACAGCAAAAGAAGGCATAAGCTAAGATAGAAAAATATAGGAGCCTGGGCCGGCCCGTGGCTCACTCGGGAGAGTGTGGTGCTGATAACACCAAGGCCCCGGGTTCGGATCCCACATAGGGATGGCCGGTTCGCTCACTGGCTGAGCATGGTGCTGACAACACCAAGTCAAGGGTTAAGATCCCCTTACCGGTCATCTTTTAAAAAAAAAAAAAGAAAAAGAAAAATATAGGAGCCAGCAATAATGGAGACAACCTAGAAGGTGTAGAAAAGAGACAAGGTCACAGTTGTATGACAGACCTCAGCTGTAGCAAAAAAACCACAACGTGGATAAAATGATGAAGCATCTGAAAAAAAAAAAACAGGATAGAGAAGGAAAATTAGGCAAGCAGAAAAACATAAGGTGATGATTAACCAATCAACAACCAATAACCGTACCACAAAGGACATCTTATAATACATGTAGCATAACAAAGACTGATCATGATACAACTCTTTGGAAGGATGGGGAAGGGGAAGGGGAAGTGAAGGAGGTACAAGGTTCATCTATCATAAGAGGAAAGCAATTTGGACTGTAACAAAGACTGATCATGATACAACTCTTTGGAAGGATGGGGAAGGGGAAGTGAAGGAGGTACAAGGTTCATCTATCATAAGAGGAAAGCAATTTGGACTCAAAGTCAGAATTATTAATAAATAGCAATATTATTAAATATGCAAAGTTACTTCTAAATCTTTTATTTCTGAGTTTTTAACCAAGAGTATATGTTTCTTTGATCATTTTCTGTTAATTTATTGAAAGAATTTTTTATATTAACAAAAACAACAGAAGGAATCAATCGTATGTGAAATTCCAAGCCTTCATCTCTTTCTCTTGTATAAAAAGATGCCGTTTAGCGTGTCCTGCTCTTCATCTTCTCTCTTCTTCGTTTTCCAGGTCTCTTCTACAAAAAAAGAAATACCACATCTACCAAAAAAAGAAGCACTTGGCCTTCTTCCCCAGGGTGAGAACACAGAGAAATAAGGAGACAGGGCAGTGAAGGGGTGGGAGAGGGGACCGAGCCTGCCCCTCTCCTGGGCCCCCTGGCTCACTTACACTTGGTCCTTTCTTTCCAGGCCTCTTGAGACCCTTGCCATGAGCTGTCTTGGCGCGGAAGCTGGACACATCATCGTAGCTCTCTCGAGTGTTCCACTTGGAACCTTTCTTCTTTCCACCAAAACCAAACTTCTGGTTTTTATATCGTCGTTTAGCACTGGGCCTGGAAAAAATGGTCCTACAAATTACCCACAGCACAATAAATCCTGATGAATCTTATGGCCCAACGACACCCTAAGTTTCCTTTCTGTAAACAAAGCCCCTTAGGTGCTACTGTCACCCAGAATCTCATCCTTGACCCTACATTTTCACTCTACAAACTTTCCAGGCAAGCCCATCTACTTACAGTTTTAATCCCCAGGGAAGGAAAACAAAGCAAGAAGCAGGAAAGGATCTACATACATCATGTGGCTTATAGCCTACCTTTGGAAAGCTTTCTATTTTAAATCTTACTAAATCACCATCAGTTGCTTCTACTCCTCTCGAGTATATACATGCAGTTAACATTCAAATGTAATAAATTTTAAAACTGTTCATCCCACAGGAATCTCAAATCCAGCATATCCAAAAGTCACATGTCATCTCCCTTCCTAGACTGGTTTCATCTCCTGTATAGATGCCCTAACTTGAGGCTGGTGCTACTACATCTAGCCAGCTCCTATGGAGTGAAGTGTGTCCCCCAAAGTTCCATGCATTAGAAATGTAAGCCCCACTGTGACAATGCTAAGAGGGTGGGGAATCCTATTACAGTAATTGAAAGGTGGGGCCCTGAAGAGGTGATTAGATTGTGAGGGCCATGCCCTAGTGAACAGATTAATCCATTGATGGTTTAATGGTGGTCATGGCCATGGTTCTGATGGCTTTAAAAGGAGAGTTAGTAAGGTGGTTAGTCCTCTCTGCTCCTGCCATTCTCACCATGTGATACCCTGTGTCGTTGTGGAGTCATCACCTACCAACAAGACCCTCACCAGGTGTGTTCCCTGGACTTTGGACTTCCCAGTGTTTGAAAATGTAAGCAATAAATATTGTTTCTTTATAAATTACCCAGTTTCAGGTATTTCGTTATTAGCAACAGAAACGGATAATACACCAGCCACTCAGACTAAAATCTTAGGAGTCAGCCTTATTCTTCTTTCACCCTCTACACCCAATTCAACTACTGAGTCCTGCTAATTTAACCTCCTCGATATTTCTTTTTTTTTTTTTTTTTTTTCTTTTTT